CATTGGCATCAGGCGCGATCAAGTTTCACTCCTCCAGAGTATCGGCGCATCTCATATCATGCACGGTGCGAACATATATTTTTTTCAACACAGTATGTGTTGAGAAGCTTCGATTTAGAAATGCTAGAAATGATATGTCGAGAAGAAAATGGGTGAATGGTTAGTTGCCTTTTCACCACGTTAGCTATGAAACTAACGCGACATCCATTTTATCGTGCGCAAATCCAAAGATAAATATGCATCCGAGGATTGAGCACTGCTTGTTTACAAGTACAGCGCTCTTAATCGGATCGGTTTGATTGTCAAGGGCAGCGCCTACGTGTCAAACAAGTTCAAACGTTTCTAGACACCGGCAACCAAAAAGCAAAAGCAACCACCCAACCGGCATCGTCAGCTCCTACTACCGCACTGTAAATCAAGATCGCCAACGACGGAAGTTTACATCGAGCGCTTTTATGGTAGTTTAAAGTAAAAACTCGAGAGTGCACACGAGCAGATCGGTTGCCGATGAGTATTTACAAATCAAAACCTCGTACGATGAGCTTACCTAGGCCTAAACAAGTGGCGACCGTGTCAACGAGTTTCTCTTGACGTTCAGTCAAGAGACGCGTTTCTCCGCTTTCTTTTTTTCTGTGGTCGTCGTGTACACTTGCTGATCGTTGTCCGATGTTCGCTTCATCTAAAATAACGGCGGTCCGATGGAAGGGTTCACCATAACAAGTCCGGCGCACTGCGCTGGCGCTGTCGCCCACTTCAAAGCCGGTGAAAACTCGCCGTCAACGCTACACACGCAGCTACACGTGGCAAACATTGGGACGGGGGAATGGCCGGCGACGGCTTACAAATCGGCTGCAAGACAGATGCAACGCTTTTGTCTACGCCACTCTCCCTTTGTGCATTGTCCAGTTACGTTACACGCGTATAGGGCACAATGCATTGAGATTATTTAAGAAATCAACCGTAGTCATTCGTATGAATAAACTTCGAGCACTTCTAGGTGGCACTTTAATTTCGTAACGCCCTGATCACCGAAGCGGGCTGTTCAAAGGCGTAATCGGGGATGTTCGAGGTAACGACGTTTTTCAAGGGCAATATCGAGCAGGCCCCGTAACGACAAAAATGACGCTTATACTCTGGCTAGAGTGGACCGACACGTGCCCAAAAAACCATAATCGGCCCTTTCCCACTCTCTTTCTGCGAACGTGTCGTGTGCTGTAGGCTCCCGTTGCCCGTGGCAACCGTGTAAACTGAAATGGTTGAGCGCCCGAGTGAATCGCGCGTAATTACCAAAACAGAGGCCGCGCTCAGCGGCCGGCACATCACGTCATCGGTGTCGGCTTAAAAGAAAGGCAGCAAAAAGTTGAAAACGCAACTCGCGCATCCGTGATATCGATTGTGCGGAGCCGTATCGCCCTGTCCCGCCTCCCTACACGTGCCAGCGCACCGTCTACACGCTGCGGTACCTTTTCAAAGGTGAGTTACTCGGCAGCTTGTCACCAGTTTTACGCCGCACCCCAGCACGGGTAGAAAGTGCTGCGGCCTTGTCAACGGCGGCTGGCTGAGATTGCGCGCCACTGTGAAGCGGAAGCCTAACATGACGCCTTTGCATCGCAGTTCCGCGATAACGGTGGGAACGTAAATTTTCCTCTCGTTGTCTTTAAAACTTATTTTTGTGTTTTACTCATGAATGCAGTGATTGTTAGTCATATAAATGAAGAGGTAACGAGGCGGTTGTCATACAGCATCGCAATACGAATGCAGTAACTGTTCTGGAGTCACTTTCATTGATCTCGTGTTACCTTGGTCCATAGAAACCATTTCGAGATTTCAGATACGCATTATAAACCGTACGATGAATGTGCGCGAAAATTGCGCCGACCTAGTTTTCCTGTCTTCCTTTCTCATTGATGTCGCGGTGTTTTAGACGCATTTTTATAGAGCGACGCAGCCTGAATACAAATCATTAGCGGCGTGATCCCCTCCGGGAAGAAATGTAGGTCACGCACGCTACGGCTATTGGGCCACGCTGCACTCTGGAAAGGGAGTCCTAGGGAAGACCCCGAGATGCTCCTATAGAGCGTTGGTGTGAACATCGCGCCTATCGGCTGACCCGAGGGCAAATTTCATTTGCATGCGGCATGAGCCACTTTTCGCCGGTGGAGCGCGTTTACGCGTCGCCAGAACTTAGGTAAGACGGAATGTTTTCTCTGATTACGAGCGCCGAGTTTGGTTATTTGTCCGAACCGCTGCAATACGAGTTAAGCAAGTTCCTTGGTGCTTTGGTATAATGAGCACTGTAATTAATGCTTTATGCACTTAATCGACGTAGTTATGGTTCCATAATAGAAATGTGTCACCGTGGTTATTTAGAGATTACTCAGCGAATACGTTTGTTCGCACATTTTATCATGAACTTGCACTTATACCGATACCGGTTTTCGAACAGCTTTGCACGTATACCATTCTTTGCTGTGTCCCCAATACAATCAGCGAGTGCCCGAAACGAAACTATAGTTCAGTCATTTCGAATGGTCCGAAAATCGGGAATTGCAGAGTATGCACGAAACACGATTGCCTACGGAGCCACCGTCTTTCACTTTTGACGCGTTATTTTTATAAAGGGTTCAAATAGGTTTCCACGTGTTATTTGCGCTGTTAATGTGCTCAGTATGTGCTTTATTTTCCCGCGGAATATAGCTTCAGTGCGAGCAATGCACGTATAAGGATAAGCGAAAAAAAAAAGCCGTGTGCGACGATGTGCTGCCCTTGTTAATCGTATAAAAATCGCTCATTTGTTCATTGCGCTGCCAAAATATTTTGATCATGCTAATATGACAACTGTCCTAAAACATTTTTTACAAGGGGAAATCCTGTATGATAGCTCACTGGTGTTTTACAGAAGGTATTTGTAACTGACCCGCCATTGCTACCTATTTTTACGTTATCATCAGTTGTGAGGGCGAATAGCATGTAGAACGTAGATCGTCGCGAAATCAACGTCTTATGAGAATTACGCACCCGCGAAAACTGGCTTGCCTCGGCTGCGATTTTCTGTCCATGTTTCTTTCATTTCTCGTCATTTTTGCCCCGCCGCGGTGGTCTAGTGGCTAGGGTACTCGGCTGCTGATCCGCAGGTCACGGGTTTGAATCCCGGCTGCGGCGACTGCATTTCCGATGGAGGCGGAAATGTTGTAGGCCCGTGTGATCAGATTTGGGTGCACGTTAAAGAACCCCATGTGGTCGAAATTTCCGGAGCCCTCCACTACGGCGTCTCTCATAATCATATGGTGGTTTTGGGACGTTAAACCCCACATATCAATCAATCAAATCAATCATTTCTCGTCATTTTCTTTGTATGCATGCAACACAGTCTGATGTCACGATCAAACAGAACTTTCAATAAAAAGCGATGTTTTGGCAGAAACGCAGTTCGTTCTTGCCCTCGTCATAAATAAACTGCTTTATTCGAAATACAGCTGAATTCAAAGTTCTCAGCAGTCCCAAATGCGCCACCTGCATATTTTATACTATATTATGTTGCTGCTTAACATTTCGTGAATGAGCAAAACTGTCTTAAATATTAGAATATTTCACGGTGAAATTGACAATCGTCTATCGTCGGAGAAATATGTCATGGGACACCAGCCGAAACCGTCTTCAGCACAGAAACGGTTCGAGAACGCTGTTGCGTTTATTGCGGGCAACTGACACTACAGAGAATGAATTTAAACAGTGTCATTATTTTCTTTCTTTTATTATTTATTTTCTATCAATGTTTTATTCCCTTTAACTTTTTCCTCAGCATAGAGTAGCCAGCCACTCATTTTAGGGGGGGGGGGGGGGGGCATCGCCTAATGTAACACTCGAGAGGGAGGCGTGGTCATGACTTTTGTTGTTAATAGCTTAAAAACCCACTCATAGCGTAAATACTGTTAATGTATGCTAACAATGAATTCAGTCATTTGTCCTAATTGGTGATTGGAGGTGGATTACAAGCACTGAAGTGGGAGAAAGGGAGATCGCCCCTGCCACTACCCCTCTGGATTCGGCACTGAGCCGCTCTAAGAACTGGTTAACATACCCGTCCTTTCGTTTGTTTCTTTCTTCCTTCAAGTAGAGGGGCACTAGACAACCAGTGTGAAGCGCGAATCACACAATCCATGCGGCGTGACTCTGCGTAGTGATCTAGTTGCACTTTTGCTTTTCTTCGCGCCAGTTTGTGCCGACAAAGTGCGGCAGTGTTTTACGTGGCAACAGCTGGTCGACTGTATTACGTGGTCACCATAGGCGTGTGCCTGGAAGGGGGGGGGGGGGCAGAGGAGAGGCGGGTGCCCCCCTAGTCAACTAAGAAGGGGGGGGGGGTGCAAAGCTACTCCCCCTCCTGAAGGGGAGCACTGCGCGTGGTGGTCATAACCAAAGGACGAGAAGGCTATCAACCGGAGTTAACAGAATTCTTTTTTTTTTTTTCGAAGTTTCCCTTATAGAGTGTAGCCTTGTATAAACGAATCACCATTGCGGAAAAGAAAAAAAAATGCGGACAAGAAATTATAAAATAGAAACACTTCTGACACATAACACGAGAGATTTAATGACTCTGCTAGCTTATCGGCAATCACTAAGCAATCCTCAATCATTGTGCGAAGCCGAAGTCATGTTAGCATTTTAGAAGCCTTCTCAAACAACGGAATAGGCGCCTTCTTAACCCTACTCTACTCTAGTGTACGAGCCTCCTGTCTATTGTTACGGACTTGACACACTAGTATACGGCCCTATTAGAACATCCTTGTGCATAATGAACTACCGCATATAACGCTATATGTGTCCTGTCGTGGTGCATGGGTATAATGAAGGTAGAGACAAACGGTGTACTACAATAATATATCCGTTGCGAAAAGAAGCTCGGACATTATGGAGGCTGTAACATCAATAACATCAACAAAGCAATTGTGTGCAGAATGAGGCGTCACTTGCGTGTCGTGTGTTTGTGAACGCAGCATGAACGAGCATGCCTCGCTGTACGAGTACTGGCGTAGGCTTCTCATGGAGGAGCAGCAGAACGAGGAGCGCAACCACTGGCTCATGCGCAAGCTGGACGAGATAGAGCAACGCACCAGTCTGCTCAGCGAACGCTCCGAAAGGCTGAGGCAACTAAGGGTGAGCACCCACACGTTTGCAGTGTCTTCTATAGCGTTGACTGAGAGCTCTGCGGCACTTCCGCTGCTAAATCATATATATATATACATATATATATATATGTATATATATATATATATATATATATATATATATATATATATATATATATATATATATATATATATAGTAGTGGTGAATTCGCAAGGCAATCACCAGTGGGACCATCTATCAGTGCGAAGCGCGAGCGTGTGCACGAGGTGTGGACGCTGGACTGTCCGAGTATTTTGAGTATTTTTGACCTTACTGGCTGTCTGTCCACTACCAAGCCGAATATGGAGCTGAATGCGTTGGTTCCTCACCTTGCCTTAGACAACGTGTTTTCCGTTGCATTTCACCGTTTTATTGACAGCCATATCGCCCCGTTCAACGAGAGCAGCTTCTTACCCTGTTGCACGAATTCAGGCGTTCGTGTGACTTTCCCCAAGCGGTGCTAGGAAGAACGAACACCGTTGTTCACACAATTGACACGGGAGCACTCCTTTGCGCCAGCGCCCCTATCGTGTGTCGCCGGCGGAGCGTCGGGTAATTACAGAACAAGTAGACGACATGCTACAGCGCGGAGTCATCAAGCCTTCTTGTAGTCCTTGATGTTCTCCAGTTGTACTCGTCAAAAAAAAAAAAAAAAAGATGGTTCCATCCCGTTTTGCTTAGACTATACAGGCGCCTAAACAACATTACGAGGAAAACGAAGAAATATGTTTACCCTCTTCCCCACATAGACGACGCTCTCGGTTGTCTCCAAGGTGCAGAACTCTTTTTCTCGCTTGACCTCCGTTCAGGTTAATGGCAGATCCTAATGGCTGAGTCTGATCGTCCGAAAACGGCGTTCGTCACACCGAATGGCCTCTATGAATTTACTGTAATGCCATTAGGACACTGCAATGCGCCCGCCACATTCGAGTGAATGATGGACAGCATTTTACGCGGTCTCAAATGGAACATATGCTTGTGCTATCTTGACGACGTTGTGGTCTTTTCACCTGATTTCACTTCGCATCTCACCCGCCTGCGTAAGATTCTACAGTGCCTTACAAACGCCAGGCTTCAGCTTAACCTGAAGAAATGTCACTTCGAGGCTCAACAACTCGCCATACACGCTTATGTCGTCTCCAAAGCCGGCATCCTTCCCGACCCTGACAAACTTCGTGCTGTTGCCGAATTTCCTTAGCCGACTACAGTTAAAGAACTACGAAGCTTCGTGGGCCTGTGCTCCTATTTTCGTCGTTTTGTCCGCAACTTTGCTTCCATCATCACTCCGCTCACAAAGCTCCTTGCTGGCCCTGCGGATCTTTCGAATGGGACAGCAGCCTGTGACGAATCCTTCGCAACACTGCGCCAACTTCTTACCTTTCCACCCGTGCTGTGCTATTACGACCCTACTGCGCCGACCGAAGTAAACACGGATGCAAGTGGCGTCGGCCTTGGTGCAGTATTCGCGCAACGCAAACCAGGTTTTACAGAGTATGTAGTTGCCTATGCCAGTCGCACCCTCACTAAGGCAGAAGACAACTATTCTGTTAATGAGAAGTAGTGCCTCGCGATTGTGTGGGCGTTAAACAAGTTTCGCCCCTATTCGCATGATCAAACTTTTGATGTGGTGACTGATCATAACGCACTCTGTTGGTTGGCTTCACTGAAAGATCTTTCTGGTCGCCTCGGGCGTTGGGCACTACGCCTCCAGTAATTTGACATTCGCGTTGTCTACCGATCGAGGCGAAAACGCTCTGACGCAGATGCGCTTTCACGATCACCCGTGAAATCTGATGAATCGGAAATCTCAGCCATTGCCTTTCCCCTCTCTGCCGTCAGCGTCACAGATATGCCATCTGAACAGTGGAAGAACCCATGGATGGTCTCGCTCTGGAATATGCTTTATGGCACATCAACCTCCGGATACCAACGTGTTCTTCGCCGCCATGCAACGCATTTTGCCATACGGGATGGCCTGCTATACCGTCGCAACTATCAAGTGGTGGGTCGTAAATGGCTGCTGGTCATACCCAGCCATATGCAGTCTGATATCTGAGAATATTTTCATGCTGTACCACAACATGCACACGCTGGTGCGTTAAATACGTATGAGCGGATCCGCCAACGTTACTACTGGCGGGGTATGTACACGTTTGTACGCAAATACATTCGCTCATGTTCCTTGTGTCAGCAGCGCAAGACATTTCCTCATTCACCGGGTCAACTGCAGCCTTTACCATGTCCTGCACACCCATTTGACCGTGTTGGAATTGACCTATACGGCCCGCTATCGTGCTTTGTTGGTGGTCATCGATGGGTGATTGTGGCTGCCGACCATCTGAAAAGGTACGCCGAAACGGCAGCGCTACCTTCGGCTGGCGCTCGTGACGTTGCAACCTTCATCTTGCACCGGTTTGTTCTTCGTCATGGTGCACCACGGGAGCTACTGAGTGACAGAGGTCGCGTATTTTCTTCCGAAGTTCTGCAGCAGCCTCTACATTCATGCCGTACGGTACACCGCACATCAACAGCCTACCACCATCAGACAAACGGCCTAACGAAACGTTTTAATAGAACCCTGGGAGACATGTTGGCTATGTATATTGATTCCGACCATTCTGATTGGGACGTCGTTCTTCCTTTCATGACGTACGCTTACAATACGGTGATTCAATAAACAACAGGCTTTTCTCCATTTTTTTCATTTATATGGTCGTGACCCATGCAGCACACTCGATACAATTCTGCCATACAATCCTGATGCCTCCGAGTTCAGCTCAGTTTCTGAAATGGCAGAACATGCCGAAGAGTGTCGTCAGCTTGCACGGTCCTTCACAGCCGATAATCAAGCCCTCCAAAAAGATCGCAATGACCGTGATCTTGTCCAGGACACTTTCCCCGTCGGTTCTCTCGTGCGGCTCTGACTGCCTTTCCACTCTCCTGGATTGACTCTCAAGTTTGCACCGAAATATACTGGCCCTTACCGCTTTATCCAGCGCCCTTCTTCTGTCACCTATGTGATTGAACCGCTCAAGCCGCCCACGGACAAGCGTCGCCTTAGTCGTGAGATGGTCCACGTTAGTCGCCTCAAGCCCTGCTTCGACCCTCCTGTTCTCTAGTCACCTTGAGTCGCCAGGATTGTTCGTCTTCATCGCCGGGGTTATTGTAGCGGTGAATTCGCAAGGCAATGACCAGTGGGACCATATATATATATATATGTATATATATATGTATATATATATATATATATATATATATATATATATATATATATATATATATATATATAATATAGACCTTACTTCAAGCAATGTCATATATACATTCTCTCTCTATTTTAGGATTTATTTTCTGTAAATGTTTCAGTCCCTATACTTCTTTTTCCAGCATAAAGTAGCGACCCGTTTGACAATTTTTAATCTGCAAGTGAAATATTCTTCCATGAAAAAACCGCTGAACCGTTAAGAGTAATGCTGCGATTGATTTTAAAGCAGCAACAACCGCATCGAAAGATCAGCAACTGCACTTTTGACATAGGCCAACAAGTTTTT